TATACCCCTTCTCGGGTTATGTCGAAAGAGAAAAGAAAAAGAAAAAGAAAGAGCTTGATGGGTCAAGAGAGAGAGAGAGAAAGAAAGAGTCTCTCTCTTTCAACCCTTTGTTAATTTTATTTTCGTTTAAGTTTTTCCTGCTCTACCCAAGGAAAGGGTTCACCTTTTACCCTTAGCCTTGGTAGAGCCTTTTTCAACAAACCCAATCAACCACAATTAATTTGTTTCCGAACAAAAATGAAAAGAAAAAGAATAGAAAAAGAAAATGAAGAGAAAAAGGTTTCGGGTTTCTTTTCCTAAGTTGGGAAGAGGAGGAAGGAAAGGATTAAGCAAAGTTTGGGGTTAATGGGAACTTAATCCTTTTCCTCCTCTTCTCTCATCATCTGCCACCTCCAACCCATCTTGTTCTTGGAGGCCAAAATTTTACCCTCACAGTATAATGTAAAGTCAACTTTTAGAAAGAGAAACCAAAGGATAAGATTTCTCTTCCTCTTTTATTTTCTCTTTCTCTTCTAATTAATTTTTCTCTCTTCATGATCCTGCTAAAAATTAAATAATTGAAAATAATAATTGGTTAAAGGTCATCAAGAAGACGTAATAAATTAGGATAAATAAGAATAAATTAAGCATAACACTTACCCTTAAACCTTTGATCTATTAGACTGGCGCTATAGATCTTCAAACTCTAAACTTACCTTTTCCCTTGTTGATCCTCCATATGCTTTTAAGCTCTAGTCATTACCTTTGGCGCTTTAATGCTAGTCGCTTTAATTTGTTAATGAAGCCCAGACAAAATCAACCAAACGGTCACTTCAAATTGACCAATAAGATGGATGATGAACCAGAGTTATTAGTTGAGCCAGATGATGAATCTGATGAAGCACCAGCAGATGATGATCCTTATCCAGTTACAATAATAATTTTTACCTTTTCATTTTAAACGGCTTTCTTAATATTTAACCCCATTTCTTTGTTAATAAATCAATCCAGTTGATGATGTAATGTTTAACTTGATTTTACTCTTTATTTCTTAGAGTTTATTTTAAATCAATCATTTATCAAGTTTCGGTTGATCAATTGATCGACAGTTGATTTAATTTTGATTGTAATTAAGTTGGTGAAATCAAAAAAAGAGAATTGTAACGTTTGTCACAGTTTTGTGCACAAAGCTTCAAAATTGACTCAAATGAAAGGCAGAAGAACAACAACAAGGGAACAAATAATAAAATGAATAATAATGATAATAAGTCGAAGCTCAATTGTGTTGATCTAACTGACAATCTATCACCGTATTGAACTCGAAGACCCATCAGTCGATCCCAGCCCGATTTTATCTTTGGCGTGCCATCGAGTCGCAATCAACAATTGAAATGAAATGAAAGCCAACGGTTTTTATAGAGATTTTTTGACTGATAAAAGTTCTAGTTCCTCCCCAGCCCGTAACTTTCTCATTATATAAAAAACTATCAAAATGGTTAAGTGATGGATTGTCATAAATCTTATAAAAAGTTCATATTTTTCTGAGCTCTTTCAAATATTGTTACAAGAATAAAATGAATTTAAAAATAATGATGACATTCATTCATGTCAACAAAAGAACCTGATTCACCTGAAACTGAGTAAACTTGGTATTATGGTCAGTTTGTCAAACAAAAATGTCATAACAATTACAGTCATGTCGATATCCATGTACTGAGATAGCTTCAAACGAAAAAATCCTCACAAATCTATAGCTTCTGTCTTATAAAGTCTGTATAATATGTAAATTTATGTCATTATTGTAATGTTGAAATTGTTGAAATATGCTATCTTAAGGAATAGATAATAGCATCATGGATTATCATGATAACTCTGAACTGATATTAATAATTCCAATATCACTCAATTTACTAGAGTTTAACCAGGATTGTGTTCAACTGAATTCATGAATTGGTATTGTAACTGTTTTTGTCGTACATGAAAGTTATTTTCTTTGTTCACTGATTCTTGAATAGCTGATGAGATTCATGATAAAAATAATTGCATCAATGTAACAATAAATTGTTACCATGTATTTATTTTCCCATAAAATTGTGATCAATCATTGAACCGATATTAATAGTTGAGCTTTAATTAGTTACCAGACGATTGCTTGTTTCGTCAATTCATTGCAATTCAATTAAATCTCCAAGATAATTTAGTTTATTTAACAGCCAAAAATTAACCAACGAATCAACAATTTCGAGTCACGTTCATCGTCGTAAATCTTGAAATATCATGAGGGTTAAAAAGTGATTTATCAATATCCAGGTATTTTTATCCATTCAACTGAATCAAAATCAAATCAAAATTTGTCAAGAATCAATAATAGTTAAAATTGGTTTACCTTTGAATTGAAACTGAATCAAGGTATTAGACGATGATAGGTTTCAACTTTGTCATGAAAACGGAAATCTTTTTTCACTGAGTTGAGATAGGAAACTTTAAGAATCCATTGGAAAAAATTTCACAATACTTTTTTCACACTTACAGGATAACCCTTTCAACTGTTTAATATGATTACCTGATAATCAAAACTTTAGTTTAGCTCATAATGCAAATAGTAATCAAATAATCAATTGTATTGGTGATAAAAAAAGATCATGATTCAATTGAGATAAATTCATATAAATTCAATTCTAATCGATTATTCTGATTTACAACCATTAAATCATGAATATTTTTTCATTATCATATTATGTACATAATATTTTAACAATTGGAAATGCATTCAGATAAAAACATTGATTGATTTACACGACTAACATTTTCTTTATTTGATTTTTCTCATCCGAATCGTCAATTGTTATAATATAATCTGAATATACATAAAAGCATTTTAAACAATTCCTCTGATAGCAATCATGTCAATTATCATGTTAATTCATTCAATGAACATCTATATCAATTTCTAATCAATGATATCCAAGTGGTTTCCAATAAAAATCTTGGTAAATTCTGTGAAACAAAAGTAATAATAACTGTGAATATAACATGAGATATGAACTGAAGATTCTGTCAAGTACCAATACTCATTGACTGTTTAACATGAAGAGTTTATTATTAGTAATAAGAAAATTTTTCTATTAAAATGTTCAATCCTCATAAGTATTAATATAATTGGCTTATTATGATATTTGAATTTCAGTTCCATTCCTAAACATTATAAGCAAAAGAAAATCATATTTTCATTTTGATCATCCATATCATGTTTATGAATCTGCATGGAGTTTTGTTAAAATATTGAGACTCAATTTTTAAAATTCGTACAATAAAATTATCATTGTATCTTTTCAATAATAACTCCCATTGAGAATACTCAGTAAGCTCAAAGTTCTGTCCAATTAAGCCAGAATTTTGATCTGACATTTTTGTTGATATCTTAATAAGTTTCAATATAAGAATCTAAGTAATTTAGTATTGAACAAAGAGGTAAAAAAGTTGATCTCTCATCTGCTCATGACTTTGAGATAGTTAGTTATTGTTTAAAGATTAAATTTGTCAACCCCTTGATTTCATTCTCATCCTGATTATCATTTCAATTTCAATTTCATCAGAATTAAATGCCTAAAGGGTCAACCACCATTCTTAGGATGCTCAAGATTAAACAACCCGCAGTCTTATGAGGATTACCTTGATTCCTCTTTTCTTTATATCCTTGTCATCCTCATCATCTTTATACTCCTCATCTTTATCATTCTCATCATGAGAAATAAAGACAGAACTCATCATCTTTTCATCTCCTTTTTTTATATTCTCTATTTTTCTTTTAAGTATTTCACTTTATTTCTATTTGGAAACAAAAAAAAAGTTTCAATAATCTTTTGTTTACTTTTTTACTCAGTCATTTGAAAGAAAAGCCTTTTTCATGATCATCTCTTTTGTTTCATCTCATGATTGTCACTTTTCCTGGTTCCAAATCATTGGACTTTCACTTGATGTAATAACGATACAATAATAATATAAAAAAAAGTAGAGCCAACAAAAAGATCATATTATCTTAGATAATGTATTCCTTATTCTCAGTTCCGGAGTATTACCTTTTCTTTATCGTCGATAATATCATTGGATAATATCAACAGAATATCATCACAATTTCACTCAATTCCTTTATCTATTTAATATCATTCAGCACTTTTTTTTGTAACTCATTCTCATATTTAGCCTTCGATAATTACCCTGGAGGTGTATCAATGTCACCATAGTTGAATCACTAGTTTATCTTACCAATAATCAACCATAATAGTAACTTTTTCACATTCACATCTTATTTGAATAGAGTCTTTTTTTCCTGGTGAACTTTTCTGAATAAACTTGAGTCTACATGAAAAACATTTTGTGAATAATTGTATAGCTATTGAAGTAAAATGCTAAAGTTAATTAATTATCATCACAAAGTAACGAAAATTTTCTGATTATTTCCGTTTTCAGGAAGTTGAAACTTTTCATTAGAACTTCGAACTCGATTCAGGATAATTATAATATCCAAATACCTTTGCAAGTTCAATTCGATATTTCCTGATAATCGTATATTGAAATTCAGCCCATTCCCTGATTTCTATTAAACGTTTATACAACTCAGAGAGTCTGAGTAATGAATATTTAAGATAATTTTAAATTCAAGTTCATTGACATAATATTTTACTAAATTATATTCCATGATTAATGATTAGCGTTTCAATCTGAATAGTTATTCCCGATTCTTCAGAATAATCGACTTGATGATAACTTTTACTTTCGAAACTTTTATCGATCATGTAAAAGTTATGTTCTATTAGAACTTTTATCGAGTTTCAAGTTTCTCATTATTCTTTCACTGATAATTGAATATTTATGCACAAAGATTTCCTCTATTTCTTAGTTAATCTAATTAACGATCTATTTTTTTTTTGATAAACAAATAATTGTGAAATTAAATTGATCATTAATTCACTGAATTAATTTATTCTCTGTATATATTTTTTTCTATCTTATCTTTCCAGAAGTTTACCATGTTAAATATATATAAGATCTCATAATCGTTTCTTGAAAAGTTCCAAATAATTTGAGATGAAGACGATAACCAATCGATAATCAATCGAACTCAATATGAATCCAAGATACGAACGGGATATCGATTCGATTCAATTAAGCTAATGGATCATCTCTTAATAACGAAAATAATATTCCTAGAATATCAAAACCGGAGGGAACATGGGACTCGCTGAAACCAACGAATTAATTTGAACTCGGCGATCAATTCAAACTGTAAATTATGTACAAAATAATATCGAAGACAAATATTGTAAATAATAAAAAGATTAACTTTCAATATTTAATACCATTTATTTACAAGTTAATTACTTATCTCCATTGATTGAATCATGATATCCTCATGAAAGGTTATCTATATATAAGATTTGGAAACTTTAAGATAGACAAGTTGATGAAAATAGTCAACTATTGGCCCAATAGTCTTTATCTTGATTACATGTTGATCCAGATTGAAAAGTGTCTGATTAAACTAATCTATCAAATGAATTCTCATTGAGGGTTAATTGTGGCAAATCGAGAGACTTGATGAAAATACGGAAATAGTTTCACTTGTCACAGGTAATGTTGCTCATATAATCTCAACTAGTTGATTGTGATTAATTGAGAAACTCAATGGACATTCAATTTGATTGTGAGTATCATTGAGAAAACATTTTCATGAGAAAAATAAAAGGAAACTACATACATGTACTATGCTGATGAGACTCTGAATCTACATGGAAAGTGAATTGGAATGAGAACTTTGGTGAAAAGGTGAAAAAGAGCAGCAAAGATTGAGATTGAAATCCCTATGAGATGAACTAAGATGAAAAACGAGATGAAAGATAAATACACATTCAACTAATTACATGAGAGAATCAGATTCAATTTGATTATCATGTTTTAATCAACTAAATTTAACCTGACACAGAGTAAATAATGATAATAACATTTGAATATAAGGGCGATTAAAAATATCACCATTCGATTAATTATTGAAACTGCAATTAATGATTTTCTAAGTGAGTTGATTGAAAAATGGTTCAGTCAAATGGATTCATCTATTTACTTAATCGTAATTAATTTGAAATAAAACTTTATGTAAGAGTAAATAGTAATTACTCTAATTACGATTGACGTAAACGTCAATATATTTAATTATCTTTGGGTCAGTTAAATGTCACTAAATTAAGTGAATCATTTTGAACAATTAACAACCAAAACCAAAATCAGCAGTTTTGATAATCTTTTAAAATTCTGGTTCCATTTTCATGGTGACATAATTTCATCACTAATTATCATTGTACTTAAAGGTGATCATCTAATAGCTACAAAAAGAGCATAAAAAAACAAGGTAACTATTTTTTGTCGTCTTTTTGGTTTGTTTACTTCCGTTGACAATGAAAGTCAAGGTGTGTCATTTTTTATCATCATCTTCCATTGTTGACATGATGATGTTCATCTTTCATCTTCATCCTTATCCTCATCTTTTCTTCATTGATTCTTTTTGACCTTTTTCTTTTCTATCAACAATCTCTTCACAATTGATTCTCATGAAGAAAAAAAAATCTCAGTAACAATTTTTTTCTTCTTCTTCTCCTCTTCAATCTCTGTATCAAGTTCAAATTGATTTGTCATTATATCATCAATTCCAATAACAATTTCATAATTGTCATGATATTTTCCATGATGGTTAATTGTCTGAGTTGATTAGTCATCTGAATTTGAAACCATTTAAGTTGGGGAAACTTTTCAAAGATTCAATTTGTTTTGTATTATCAATAAGCTGATAGATTATCTTACTGATTAAGAGCAAGGAAAATAATTACTGTCACAATAATAGTAAAAGATTATGGATTCAGGTTGACAAAGCAAAGATGTACCTTTGGTTGACCATTAGTGATTCAATTGTGAAGAAAGAGAGAGAGAGGACATTTGGTCATTCGGTCAGCCTCAGAAATGGCAATTATTTTCTCGAAAAGATGAAAGATAAATCCAAAGATTTGATTTACTAATAGTGATGATTGTGATGACACAGAAATAGATGATAATGAGGATCCTGAGACAAGAGATTGTCTCAGATTTTAATGGTATCAATGGTGAATTTAGATTGTGAGTAAGTTTCATGAATCAGAGCAATTATTATGATGGTGGATTAACCCAGAACGAAGGAGAAAAAGATAATAATCAAAGAGATAGAAACATATTAACTTTAACTAATTGTGATGGTTGAACAATTAAAATGACTTTTCTAATGGTTTCTAATGATACTAATATCTAACTCAATCTTTCTCCATGTGAATGATGATGATTTCCGTTTATTAGTAAATGAATGAAACCTTGACAATAATAAAGAAAATTTCATTTCCCTTTTCACCGTAAATCGTTAATGATTAGACTAATTGCTGATTGTTGACAAATAATAGTAGCGAAAATGGTTCACAGTATTACCTGACCATGAGATTAGGTATGACAAGTGAACAGTTTAATTGCCACAATTTAACCACTTGAACGGGATTTTTGCTTCGTTAACCCGATAAACAAGGACTTTCACTAGGCCATTTAGCTCACTATTTGTGATTTACTAGTTTCACAAATCACAATTTATTGTCACTTATATTTACACCGTTGATCATTTAACATTTTGTATCTCAACAATTTTCTGTCTCTCATTCAATTGATTCAATCAACACACAAAACAATCATCATGAAATTTTACATGGTAAGTTTTGTTTCTCATTCTAAATGGTTTACTTTACACTATGTGCTAACTTTATGAATCGATAAATGATAGCAATTAGTTGATTGTTTGTTATCATGATTCGTTTAATTGTGAAATTTGAACCTCTCAAAGTGATTGACTAAATTGTGATCTTCTCAATATCAATGGATTTACGTGCTATTGATCAATTTGTGAATAAGTTTTAGTTTGTATGTTCAACATAATAATCAACATTTTGTTATCAAAGTGAAACAATAACATTGATTAAGGTTATTAATGAATATGAATTGTGTATAAATAATTTAATTTCACTATGAATTCATTGATCAACATTAGTGAACAAACTACAATTATGCCTGAAGTTAACTGTTAATTGATATAACTAATTAGTACATTGATTTCATTGAATTAAATTAACCACTGAGATTGAAACAAAATAACTCGAAGCCTTTTTAACATTACCTTACACACCATGATGATAAGTAGACAATGAACGAAAACAGTTATGACATTGATCCTCTTTGAGTTATCAATTATAATCCTTAATCTTGACGAAAACAAAATCTATTGTTAATCAGCAAGGTATCAGAAAGGATAATGATAATAATACTGTTACATTGATTGCTGGTGAATGTTGATTATTTGTGATAAACTTTGGCTTATGTGATAAAGAGATAAAGTCAAGTGATACCTGAAAAGTTTACCGGAAACTTTTGGGATTATCAACTGAATGGATCTTGATTACTTGTTGAGATTTAGTCAATTCTATCAATTCAGTTAATCTTTTTGTTTCATTTCATTTTTTATGCTCATCTCTCTCTCTCTCTCTCTCTCTCTCTCTCTCTCTCTCTCTCTCTCTCTCTCTCTCTCATGTCCTGAGTTCATCAGAGCACAATTTTACACCCATGGTCACGGTGTTGATTTAAATCTCTATTGTGTTAATCTTTGTTTATCAGATATTAATTTCATTGTTTTTTGTTTATTCAAGTTTCTTGTTTTAGCGATTAGTTTGGCTTTGTCGACAGGTAATCCCATCGGAGTTGGTGGTGGCCTTGGAGGTGGACTTGGTGGTCTAGGGCTTGGCGGTGGCCTTGGTGGTGGACTTGGTGGACTTGGAAATGGAGTTAGTTTTGGCCGCTCTTTTGGAGGTGGAATTGGCTACGGTGGTGGCTATGGATTAGGTCCTAATGGTCCAGTCGGTGGATTTACTGTTATCCCACTTTTTGGTTAATCATTTCAACAATCGACTTGAAAGTTACTAACAAAATTTCAATTTACTTTTCGTAATAAAATTTCATTAATTTGTTATAAAATCGTTTGCATTGGTCTAAATTTTCATCTCTGTTGTTATTTCAGACCTTTTATCACCATCTACAATCAAATTCCGTAGCACCAAGAGTAATTTTCATCAATCATTCAAATTGCTGGTGGAAAACTTTTCAATATCTAATTCAGTTCAGGTAATCTTGATAACTCAGGGAGTAAAATTTTCTTGTAGTATCTTAAAATATCATTGAGGTGACAATTTCCCTGTTAACCTTGAGGCTTTTATTATCTACTAAACCTCAAGTATATTAACATGAGGATTTTAATAGACGATGATAAAAATGGTTCAGAAATCTAATAACAATAAAAAAAATGGCCAAATGGATCCATGAAAACCAATGGACTGAATTTTCAACTTAAATTACATTGATAGTTGACTGAATTTAGTTTAATGTTGACAGACAATCGTTGATCATGAGGCGAAAAGTAATGTAAACATGATTAAATCAAATTATCATCGAAAGGGTGAGGAAAGCAAAGTGATTCTTGAAACTCTTGAACAAGAAATTATAATTCATATTAGTTTACCTTGTTAACCAAAGAAAACAATCATTTTTCCTCCAGAATTCATGATAAAATATCATAAGAAATCACATCATAAGTTGAGATGATTTATCTAATAATAGATTTAAAAATAACATGATAACTTTCATGAGTATTAATATTATTATTAAATGGAAAAAAAAAGTTTCGAGATCATCATGCTCGGAATCATTCAGAACATTTAATAATTATGTGCTACTCAGAAGACGAAACATTAATTTTAAGTTTTCATTTAATTTCAAGATCCATCAAGAGGGTTAATTCAGAATATTTCAATGAGAATCAGTTACAGAATACTCATGAATTGTTATCATGATTCCAGGAATAGCGAATTATTTGTCAAATTTGACTTTTCAAGATTCTTTTTTTTGTTCGATGAAAATTTGATATTTCATGTTTGTTAACCATGTTATTATTATATCATATTCATTATCTTGAACTTTTATTCAGAAATGTTTCAGATTCATCTCTCTAGATAATGATATCGTCTCGAAACAAAATTGACTCTGATTTCTCATGAATTCAATGAGGATATTTCCATGATTGAAAAGCATCAAGAAATCAATTGATCCATTGGAAAGATAGAAATATAATTCAATGAATCAAACCTGAGAATATGATATTCTCAATGATAGTTAGCCACTAATAAAGTAAAATTCAGTATCATGAAATCACTGAGTTATAATAACACAACTTTTCACCTTGTGACCTTAGTAGATTTGATTGGATTTCGTTGAAGACTGAATATAATTTTGAAAAGTCAACTTTTCGTTAATCTTTTAATATCATTAAACTTGAAACTCTAGGAAACTGAGCTGAGAATGCAAGTGATTTGTTTCTATGTAAAATTCATGGGTTAACATTTGTTATGACATGAAATTCAATCAAGATTGAGTGAGATATTGATGATGTATAAATGATGGTTATGATGAGAAAATCTTTTACCTGAGTAACTTTCATCTCCATGGTTACCAGATCATAGAACCGTTTGATAAATATAACTTATGGTAAAGTCTCAGTAACTTATAAAGGAAGAAATAATTAATTTCCTGGAACTGAATTTATCACAATTACAACATATATATATAGACTTTAATATTGTCTAAGGAAAATGTTATATATGAAATATAACTTTCCAATTATGTTAAGTGTAAAAAATTAGATACAAATGATATTGTTAATAATTGAAATTCTGAAAAACGAACATTTTTCTTGTCACTTTCATGTATTATTTTCAAAACTTCCCATTGATCTAAAACTTTTACTATCAAATTGTTTCCAATGATCAAGAGTAACCTTAATCATGAGAAGTTGAATATTTTCACCATTAACGTTAAAATCATTTCATCGAGACTTTCATCATGTTTCATGTTTACTTGACCTTTTTGTGGTTTTCCATCATAATAGTGTATCAATTCATTAGATAAGCCGGAAATGGAAATGAAAAGAGTAGGAAGAAGATGTTTGCATCATAATATTACTCAGAAAACGGATTTATGTATATACATAAGTTGAAAATATTATCTCGATAATGATATCATATGATATGAGAGTGTTTCATTTAACTGAATAAGATGAATAATATAAGCAAATGATTTCCATTGAATCTGATTCCAGTATGAAGTTGAAAAGAGTAATCATCACCTTCTATTGATCTTTTATCTTTGTATCTATTAATAATTCTTGTTGTTTTTGTTTAGCATTTTGACTTTCCAGCAATGAGAAAACATGGAAAACACCAGGGAGTCTGAAGTAAACAAAATTTAAACATTATTCAGAGATAAATACACATGATAATCAGGGATAAGGTGTTAATATGTATTGAAATCTATTTGCCCTAAAGTGAATTAGTTTTACTATTCAGAAAAAGACAGAAAGTTTTTACCCTCCAAAGAAAAAGCAAACTCTGAAAATTATCCAGAACTTTATCGACTTTCAGCTCGAAAACTGAGCAGCAACTCTATTCCTGGAATAGATTTTTTTTACATAAACCTTTGTAATCTGACAGAATTAAACATTTACCTTTGACAATTTACTATTCTGTTCAACTTATTGATGGAAATTTAGCTTCTTATCCGTTTAAATGAACATAATACTTATTATATATTGTGTTTTCGAAAAGCATTCTTTTGGTAAGAATCAGCTTATTTCATGATTCATTCTCAATCCTGATTTGGTCATGATTACTTCAATCTCTTTTACCTTTTATCCTCACCTCATATTCATCTGAATTACTGAGTATTATTCCTGATTCTTTTCTATCCTCGAATTGATTGTTCTAACTTTCATCTCAAAGGTGAGATGATAAAAGTCTCTGAAAAGAGGTGAAGCAAAATAAAAAGATTCTCAGTGAAATCCAGTTGGAATTACACCTTTTCTCATTCAATGACATGATGAAAGATAGAAAATGAGGACATTTTTCTCATTGACGATTATATTCATATTCACTTCTCATGGAAATAACTGAAAAGCAATCGACACTCAATTCATTCCAATATCAGGCAACTATTCAGATTCTGAAGTAAGAATTTTTTTTCTCTTCTACCAAATCTTTTATAATCATGTCGATTTTGATCATTCTCAGGTGATCTTCATGGGTCATTTATTCATTAAAAAAAATGCCAACTGAATGAATGAACTCAATGGAACAAGATTGTAAATGAAATATTATGTGAAGAAAAAAAAAGTTCTGATCTGAAAAGGTCTATTCAGTTGAGATTATTCAGAAGGTTCATTTCATGATAGAAGTGACTTGTTGCTGAATAAAAAGATATTATTATCATAATTGCACATTATTAATATTAATGATGAGGATAAAATGTTGAGTTTTGTTTTCCATCCTTATTGATTCATATGTGTGTTGACAAAACACTCATGCAAATGCTGAGACAAATTATGAGATAATTCAGAGACGATGAAAGTTATATTCATGTGAATGGTTAAGAACTTGTGAACTTGAGATTCTATTGCAATTTACTAAATATGAATAAGATTGTTATCAGAAGAGACTTACAAGATTCTTCAGTGTTCATGATACACATCACATGAGAGAAAGGAATAAAAAAAAAAGTTCTTAATAGAATAACATTTAACTGTTTTACTTTTTACTTAGAAATAACTTTTTTTTTTTACTCTTTTCATCATTTGAATAACATGATTACGATTATGATGCAAATTGAATAGGCGGTCGAGAACCTTATTAAGCTAAATCATTATGTAACGAGTTAAATATTATCTCATATTTTCAGAAAATTATTTAATTATTAGCATAAATCAAGAATAAATATCATGAGATAGTAATTATATCACCTTAATCATGCAAACATTGGATCGATTTAATCAGATGAACTGAAAATAAAATGAAAGATTAACAGGAGAAAAGTTGTATTCCCAGTGAATATGTTTTCTTCATGATATAATCATCATGACGAGCATGATGATGACGATTATAAGTATGAGGAAAAGAAGAGTTAACTGAATTTCTGTTAATCATTTAATTATCAATTTATATGATAATTAGTATCATGAAAACCTCCTCATTGTGGTTTACAAGCAGATATTAAATTCCTACAACTGAATATCGATGTATAAACTGTCTGATCTTCGAGAATTGGAATCATGAGTTTGTCAGATCTGATGATTTTATCCAAAATTAACTGAATATACAATAAGTTTATCTCAATTAAATTCATGTGAAATTTTTAACGATCAGATAATTTGAACTGTATTGTCTTTTTGTTTTGACTGAGCAAAGTTCAACAGAAAAATGAAGACAATCATCAACTCATGATAACTCTGAATGAACTGAATAGTAAATATTATATAATACTAGTAAAACTGAACCTTTGATAATTGAACATGAACTTTTTCAATTAAATTAATTCTCACATTTGTTTCCATCTCTGTAATTGGGTCAATAATTTACAATTGTTATTCTGGGTTAACATTTACTCAGAATGTTTCATGTTTACATTTTAATTGTTATCAGGGAGTTTCATTAATCATAATAAATCATTGATTCCATTAATGGAAACTTTAATCAAGATTAACTAATAATAACTTTCGCAAACCAAAGGTCAGCTTTTTTCTGACCTCTACTATCCAATCACCAAGAATAATAGATTAAAGATAAATTATCTTGTGTTGAATTCAGAACTGAATAATAAATATCATTATTGTTATTATTATTACCAATTGTTTTTATCAATCTCATGGTTTTCCTAATAAAATTGAGAAAATGAGTTAACGATAATAAAACCCATTTCCACCATGATGGTGGTGAGAAACAATTGAGCTAATGTTATCCAATTAACTGTTTATTATATGAAAACAACCACCATGATGAGTTCAATGAATTACTCGATAGTAACATTATCTCCAGAATTTGTTTCATAAAGACTGAATTAAGATTTTATCACAACCATGAATCAATGTCAACTGAATT